GGAGGAGCTTTTTTAAGTACCTGTGAAAGATAAAAGTTTTGTGGACAACTTCGCAGTGTAGACATACCCTGAGAAGCGAGAAACTGGGAGTGACAAAGACAGACAGACAGCTAGAAGGAGCAGTTGAAAGAAGAGTGTCTGGGCCTGGGAGACGTTTTAAGGTCAGGGGTGCAGACATGATAATAAATATTTATGTCATAGTAGCCAGGATTGGGCCCCGTTGCACAGGGCCAGATAAAGAGACAATCCCTGTCTCAGAGGGGTTATGGGGGCACCACATTGTTGCTTATCTGAGCTAGGAAGAAACTACCAACATGGAACCCACCAAGCAAGAGCTTGGTACCTGTGCACTGCACGTAAAGAGTTGGTAAAAAGACTTGGGTACCTCTTCCATGACTCAGGAAGATACACAAGGAGAAAGAGACTCTCCTGCCCTCTGATAATTGGTGAGAAACTGCCCTCCCCACTTGGGGTATGCCTACACAGCATTTTGGAGCCAGTCTCCCAACCCAGGGCAAGTGCTAGTGCTCTAAAAAGAGCTGTATAGACAGCGCTTTGAAGTGGCGGCTCAGGCTGGAACTGGGGCTCTGAAGCCCACCCTGCAGGCGTCAGAGCCAGAGCCCCAACGTCAAAGCACTATTTACTCAGCTATTTTTGAAGAACTAGTGTGAGCCCCGCTAGCCTGGTCTATCAATCCAGGCTGGGAGGCTTGTGCCAAAATGCTGCGTAGTCAGACCCTTGCTGGTCAACATCTGTCCTCGCCAGACAAAGAGGCAGCCTTTCAAACTGCACTTTGGGATGGGAGAAAAATTGGAGGCTATAAGTTACAGGGAAAGCCTAAGAAAGGTTTGCGTCAAACAGAAATGTGTGGATTGAAGTAATTCCATATCGCCCATTGGAAGAGCAGCAACTACTAGAGTTGGGTAGAGAAAAACATTCTTGTATTCTCTCCGACTCAGGTTACCTCCTTGGCACAATGCTGATCAGAGCCTTATTAGCCAGGGGAATTCAGAAGCAGAGCAGAGCCCTCGAGGCTGCTCCCATACAGGTCATTCACCAGCACAATCTCTACCAGTTACTAACTTTTAATTAAAAACAAACAGAACTGTCAACAGTACAGGTTCTTTATTATCCCTGTGTCTTCCTCCAGCATTAAAAGAGGGGATAACAACACTAAAAGTACAAGAACCCAGCAGAACTGAGACAGACTGAGTTATGAGGGAGTGTAGGAATACATACTGTTCTGAAAAAGTGTTTATCAGTGATTTATCAATTTGTCCCATTTGGTCCACCTTTCCTCAAACAGCTGTTGGTAATCCGATACAGAATGTCATTCCATTTCTATATTTGTATTCTAGTCAGCCACATCCCTGTGGCGGTATTTGTTCCTGCAGCCATAGCAATGAAGTAGATTTATTTCCTTTCCCCCAACTTAACCTTAATATGGTCAATATTGTCCTACAGTTAAGTAAGAAAAAGTGCATATGGTTTTAATTTAAAAATCACACGCACCAACCTAGATATCTGTAATAGCCTTAAATAGCTTTCTGTTGGGGATTAATCTAGTTCTTATGAGGGCACAGCTCTTTCCAAACAGTGCTAACCTCAGAGCTCTGAGAACACAACAGGTTGGCCAAACCTGTGCAGAATTCCCCTCTTGGCATTTTGTCTTTCCCCCTCCCCTCCCCCCCCCCCAAATCTCACCACCCTAAGTGCAGAAGCCTGCTCCTCTGGCTAGCTTCCCTGGATCTCTCCACCTCAGGCATTCACCCACCCCTTCATTTCAGATCTCAGTGGAGAACGCTTCTTTCCTACACCTCCCTCACTTGCTCCTCTCTCTGCGACAATATGTCTCTGTGATTTATTTCATCCCCTAAAGCGACCCACAGCCCAGTGTGTGACAGCTCCATTAACAAACGCCACTGCTCAAAGCCAGGTTGGGCGGATCAGACCAGGAGGTGAACGCAGCAGAGGGATGTGATTTCTTTGGGGTAAAGCACCCTGCGCACATTCAGCCCCCGAGACAAGCAGGGAAAGCAGCCAGGCCGCGCTATAGGCCTTTGTCCCAAACCCCACAGGGCAGGTGCAGCCAGCCACCTGCACCCCTAAACAAGCCAGTGGGGTGCAGGGGACAGGACAGGAGCAGAAGCGAAAGGGGTCCCGCCTAAGGGAGCCAGAAGAGCCTTCGTGAGAAGGGGGTGCAGGAAAAGGGGGGGCCTCCCCCATAGTGGCGAACGAGGACAAGATGTCAAGTATCAGAGGGGTAGCCATGTTAGTCTGAATCTGTAAAAAGCAACAGAGGGTCCTGTGGCACCTTTAAGACTAACAGAAGTATTGGGAGCATAAGCTTTCATGGGTAAGAACCTCACTTCTCCCGTTGTGAGGGAGGGGCAGAGGGGGGAGCAATGGAGGACGGGGGAGGGCTGCTGAGGGCAATGGAGGAGGCGGGGGCCCACACAAGCAATGGGGGGCGGGGGGGGCCTGCTGAGGGCAATGGGGGGCGGGGAGGGCCCACACAGGCAATGGGGGGCGGGGAGGGCCTGCTGAGGGCAATGGGGGGGCGGGGCCCCACACAGGCAATGGGGGGCGGGGAGGGACTGTTAAGGGCAAGGGGGGGACTCCTGTGGGGGGGGGGGGGGCGGCCCCCTTCGGGGGGGGGGGGGGGGGGCCCCAACATGCGAGCCCCACAGTCCCCGCCCCGCTGAAGGGAGCGGCCCCTCTCACCGCTGCCTCCTCCAGGCCGCCCCAGCAGCAGCGCCAGCGCGTCCACCACCCGCTCCAGCTTCAAACTCCCGGCCATAGCGCTCCGAGCCCACTGCGCCTGCGCACAATAGCGCGCCGAGACGCCATCTTGGGAGGGTCTGGCCAACTCAGCTCTACGGGGGGGGGAGCAGGACTGGCCTACCGCCATCTTGGAAGGGTCAAACCAGCGCAGCCCTGTGGGGGGAAGAGAGGATTGGCCCTACCGCCATCTTGGGAGGGTCAGACTAACGCAGCCCCATGGGGCTGTCTTCCCGCCATCTTGGGAGGGTCAGACCGTGCGCAGGCAGTTAGCTTGCAGCGTGGTTCAGGGCTTGGCTCTTCCCGCCCGGCTGGAGCACCCGCCGGCAGCCAAGCTCCCCACCTCCTCCCCGTCCCCTGAACACCCCACCTCCTCACTCCTCCGCCTATCCCAGCCTTGTCCCCAAAACAGCTGTTTCACGGCATAACAAGCTCGGGGAGGGAGGGAGGAGCAGGACCCCCCCCACTCAGGGGTGGAGGGGATTTGGGGACGAGGTTGGAATAGGGGCAGGGAGGCAGAGCGGGGCCAGGGGCAGAGGGGGCTTGAGCACCCACCGGAGCCAGCAGAAGTCGGCACCTCTGCTGTGAGCTCCATGCAGGTGGGCCGCGGATGGTTCCCTCTAAGGTGCGTGCCTGGGCGGCCGCACACGAGAGAATGAAGGGCCACCCACCTAACTAGTGGAGCCGCGCCGGGCGTGGCTCCACTAATTAGGTGCCTGGACCCTGGAGAAGATGCACTTGTAAGGTGAGGTGGTGGCCTTGGGGGGAATAAGGGGTATGTGGGAGGGGACAGTGGGGTGAGAAGAAGGGGGTGGGGGAAATTTGGGACGTGCAGGGCTGTGGCGGACAGAGAAAGAGGTGGCTTTCCCCAGCTCCAGGGCTGCGGAGAGGGAGAGACCGCCCTCCTTCCCAGTCCCAGCTCGGGGGCTGCTGCAGCAGGGGACAGAGGGAGAGACCACCCCCTCCTTCCCAGACCCAGCTCGGGGGCTGCCGCGGCGGGGGAGAGAGGGCACATCCATTGCGTTAGAAAGATAAGACTATAGATATTAAAATATGAGTTGTGTGCTTTTATTTGTAGAAACAACAAAATTGATTTTTTTTTTTAATATAGCCCTTTTATCCAAAGCACTTTACAATAGTTAGCTAATAGTACAAACAACATTTGGAAAGATCATTAAGTGGTCTGCCGAGACCCTCAGAAATTTTCAAGTGGTCTGTGGAAAAAAAAGTTTGAGAACCACTGTTCTAGAGGATATGTACAATGCGCTAAGGGCAGCAAAACCTGTGCAGAGACTTTTAGCCTTAACATTAAAAGAGAAAAGGGTTTTTTTTAAACATTTATTAAAATGTTATAAAAATGTCAGATTAACACAAAGCTATTGCTGTTCTCTGAGCTTCCTTTGGGTCCCACCATTCCCTGTCACAGAAAGGTACAAAGTATTAAGGCAGCCAAATAAACAGTTTAGAAACCAACTAAAGCCATTTCATTTTTTTAAAAGCTCCATTGCACAGTAATTACACTGCACACGCTCGAGATTAGACAACACACTGGAGGAAGTAGCCCCAATGGAAAAATATAAATCGGCCTATAGCTATTAAATCAAATAAGACATCCTGCTAAATACTATGTGAAAAGAACATGGCATGGTATTGGCTGGTAATTTTATAGATCCTCTCTCCCCTATTCAGAAATATGAATGAACAACTTTATACAAAAATATAGCATCAAACTGGCTGACAGTCAGGTTTTAGACATTGCATTTATTTATGCAGAGCCCCAAGTGTACTAGGCACTAACATCTTGTGACACTTCTTCAGAGTCACACCTCCAGTCGGCAGAGAACAGATGACAGCCCTCTGCAGCACTTTACTTAAGAGTTGGTCTATAATCCAGTTTTTTGGGAGGGGTAAGGAGTGCATGGCAAAGTGTAGGGGGTGGGGAAGAACACTGAACTCTATTTAGAGAAATGGAAAGGCACTACTGCAGCACACAGAGACAAACTATCATCACTTTCCGAGCACATGAACGCACGGACAGGGACGCGCTGGATTCATTAAAACCAGCATACAAAGGTATTTGGGCAGTTGCCAGCAGAGCTCCCGAAGTGAGTCCTGGGGTTCCTCTCCAGGAAAGGGTGTGAATCTACTGTCCGTTCCATGAGGATTTCCTGGGGGCTCTCTCCCATATCTCCCGTGACTGTGATTGCTTATTAAGAGGGCTACCCTCATCTTTGGGTTGGCACAGTGCTAAACGTATCAAAGTGCAGCTCTTGTTTAAGGGTAATGGTAATATTAAAAAATAAGTGGCATCTGAAAATTCAATAAAAAATATCTCTGGCAAAGTCCCCTGCAATGTGGCTGTGTTCCAGACTGGCCCAGCGGTAGCTGATCGCCACGGTTACTGAGAAAGGCTACTTCACGCTTGCTCTTCAGAATCTACTCCGTGGGCACACGCAGCACCGAACCACACAGTGGGTGGTGTTAAAAAGTGAACAAATCCCGTACGCTGGTGGAGGGGAGTTTCCCGCTCGGCTTCCTGCATTCGGAATGAGGTATTCTGAGAGCACCGGGGAAATGGTTACCTGTTAATGACACCGCTGGAAGAGAGGAGCCCCCAGAAGTTAGCAGGCCCCTGTCCTGGGAGGCCTGCAGCAAGAGATGCAGGGCAGGTGAAGATGCTGCGAGTGCGTTCTCCGGACACCCCTTGCCCAGTGTGCTGCAAAGCAGCAAGACTAGGCCATTTAGCAGGTGTGTGTGAGTGCTCACCCACGTGGGCACAGGGAAATGGAAGCGCCTGGCCGTCTGGGGGAAGTAACAGCAGCCAGGAGCTCCCCAGCCGCACGAGAGGAAACAGAACTGGGCTGTGGCCTGCGCTTCTAGAGAGCAGCCCAGGTCTGCCCTCTCCTAGAAACAGTCAGTCTGTGGAGGCTGTCGATCCCAGCGTGCCTTGCTCTGCCTTGAGCACGATGGGACCTGCAGCCCCTACAGTGAAGCCGTCAAAGTGCAGGGTGTTCTGGGCAGGCTGCCAGCAAGGCCCCCTTGGTTGACCGAAATCTGGATGCCCCCGAAACAGAATTCCCCCAGCCCCCATTAACCTGGAAAGCACTGGCTATCCACGGCTGAACGACGGGGGCTGAAGAAACTGAGCCAGGACTGCGAGGATGACAGATTCACGTAGTGCGATTGTCTGCTAAGGAAAGGGAATTTCAGCCATCCAGCCCACTCGGGAAGAGCAGCGACCTTGCTGGTCTGTGTCAAACGGGCCGCAGCAACATTTCTCACACGTGTCGCCCGGCTGCAGCCCAAACACACAGGCAGCGCCTACTCCTCGTCTTCGCCCCCACCGTACATGTCGGCCAGCTTCTTGAAGCGGCCGCCCCAGTCGTTCAGGTAGTCATAGTCCTGGTCCCGGTCGGAGGAGGAGTTGAGGGAGCTGAGCGAGGCCGCCTCGGAGCCGCTGCCCTCGTAGTCAAATACCAGCAGGGAGTCGTACGGCGGGGCGGTGGGGTCAGTGTCGGCCGCCTTCAGGTTCTGGGGGTGGGAAGGAGCGTTAAATCGTGAGCTAGAGCAACAGCTTCGCCCTGCCTAGAGGTGCCACTCGGGGGATGCCCTCAGGAGAATCTCAGGCAGACTTAAACGGAGGAGCAGTACAGTTCTGCTGTCCCAGAATCGGCCCTTCCTGCACCCTCTGTACCTGCATCGCAGTGAGCAGCCCCTGCACCAGCACCCAGCACCCACGGGAGCTGGCATCTCCTGCTAGAGACTCGGCTTCTCTTTGGAAGAAACTTAAACCTCGAGCTCTCGTGACCACAAGGAACCCTTCACAACAGGAGCTGACTGTGAAGAGATGAAGGGGATCCACCCAGAGCCTGTCAGCACTGGGGGTATTCATAGCAGTGCACACCCCAGCGTAGATGCGCTGTACGCGGGTGCGGCTTATCCCAGTTTACAACAGGGCTAAGGGCCACTCTGCGGCAGGTGCCTGGTCACTCTGGGGCAGCAAATGTAAACTGGGGGTTTGCTTTGCTGCAGCTCCACTGGTACCCATCTCTTCGGGACAGACAGGCAGGCGTCTGCAAGCAGCCTGAACCAATAGCCAAGAGAGCGGTGCTCTGCCCCATTCCCAGGGGTGACAGGACGGTGATTTACAGACCACCGTGTAACTATTTCACAGCTGATAGAAGCAGATGAGGAACGAGAGGGCCAACACTACCATGATGATCTGGGCAGTCTTCTGGGAATGGCACCTGAGTCCCCCCAAGGGGTGTGTGCAGGGACAATCCAGCAGGGCACTCGACCTCCCCCAAGGACGCTCAGCAGGAATGCCATCTCCCCCTCCCTTTGTCCCTCTGGGCTTGGCCCCGCAGGCCCCCCAGTCCTGACCAGGTGTTTAGATGTCTCTGGCACGCCCTGGTACTGCACACAGCTGCGAGGGGATCTCAGAGCTGTCACCAAGAGAATTAAAATGCTGAGTTCCAAGCATTGTAATGGATGGCAATCGGACTTCTCTCTGCCTTCGCTACTGAGGGGGAAGAGAAGGGCTGTGCATCACGCTCTGAAGGGGGCAAGTCCTGAGCTGCAGGAAAGCGCTCCCTAGCCAGGGCCTGACACCAAGAATGCCCTGGCCCCGGTGAGTTTCACGCTCTGGGTCTTTGGCTTTAGTGTCCCCACTGGGCGCAGAGACAGAGCCTTAGGAATTCTGGGGCAGGCTCTAAGGAAGGGTTTTCGCACAGCCCCGCCTGCAGCAATGGATTCTGCTGCACAGCCCGAGCCAACGGGAAGCCTTGCTAACAGAGAGAGCTCTGAGTAACCGACTCCTCTGCCTGCCCCGCTCACCTCATCGATGAAGTTGCCGATCTCGTCGGGGTTGGTGGGGCGTGGCCGGTACTGCGGGGCTGGCATGAGAGTCGGGACAACGTCGTTGCGGGTGACCTCAGGCCGAGCATCCAGGCCGCGGTGCAGCTGGCTCAGGTCGTAGTCCTGTGGAGGAGGGAGAAGAGGTGGGATGTCAGGAAATGAGCAGGAGAAAGCCAGGCTGTTCTGCGAGCCGCAGCCAAAGCAAGGTTGTAAAGGAGGGGGCCTCAGGCAGGGCCCAACAGCAGGAACTCCCCCCACCACTGCACAGTCACCCCACAGCGGCGCCTCCCTCGGGGTGTGTCCCGCTTTCAGCTCTGCACAGGGGCACAGCAGAGACCTGCTCTGTCCCGAGGCCTGCAGGGAAGCGGTAGCGGAAGGATAACAGTGGGCCGTGGGGGGAGGGGGAGGGGGTAGGAGCGCTGAAGGCCGGGGTGGGTTTTCATGTCTCCTCCTCCTCCTCTTCCATAACTGGCTCATGTCAGTGCTAGAAGCAAAAGCATATCCGACGTTACCGGCCACGAGAAGCCGAGGGCAGCGTTGTCAGGACCATGCTGGGGAACCGAACCCAGAGACGCAGCGCAGCTCCGCAGGCCCTGCCCCCCATGCATCGGCCGCACGCGCTCAACGCGCCGAGCGAGTCACACTCGGGCTGTCCGAACGGCCTGGCCCACGGCGGCGGGGCTGACGTGGGGGGTGTCCGAGATCTGAGGGGGCAGCTGGCGACCAAGGCCCTGGGTGATGGCGGCGTGCGCGGAGCGAGGTGAGATACCGGCAGAGCCAATCATCCCAGCGAGCGGCTGGATCGAGAGGATCCTGGTTTCAGAGCTCGGCAGTGCCACTGACCCACTGTGTGCCCTTGGCCAGGCCACGTGAGCCTGGCTGCACCTAGAGAGGCCACCCTGCCTGCGTCCGGAGCAGGTCCCTGCGATGCTCTCTGGCTGGAGACGTTCAGCGCAGAGCCCCAGCTGCACGCAGGGGAGCCGCGCTGCCCCCCGAGAGCAGGACCTTCCTGAAGCAACGGCTTCCGAGCTCCACCCACCTGGTCTTCCTCCCCACCGCCCTCCTCGTCGTAGTGATAGACGTTGTCTCGAGTGTCGTCCTCGGGGAGAAGCAAGGGCTCCTTCACCACCTTCCTCTTCCTCACGAAGAGCAGCAACAGCAGCAGCAGGACTAGAAAGAGGGAGTGAAAGCATTGCCGTTATCTGGGGGGGCCAGCAACCCGCACCGCAGGCCAGGCGCTAGAGCATGGGAGCAGTTCCCCCCGACGCACTGCTCCAGCCAGGGAGCGCTCAGACAACGGCGCACGCTGCACTGGGAGTCATTTCAGCAGTTGCCGTGAGTCTGAGGTTAAGGCCCTTCGCGACAGTCACTCGCTTGGCAGGCGCGGGAGGCTCTTTGCTTCTCCCCGAGGGGAGGGGACTCCGCCCGCGGTACTCACTCAGCAAGGCAAGGATTCCCCCGAGAATCCCCAGGATGGCCGGGATCCCCAGGCCGCCCGCGATGGCTGCTCTCTTCTCGCAGTTCCTGGCTTCCCCATCACAGTCGCACACAATGGCTTTGACAGTCGTCACCTGGGGTTTACCCTGGTTGTCCACCAGCTGCAGGATGATGCTGTATTCTCCTGATTCCAGGTATTTGGTAAGCTTTAAGGCCAGGATGTCTCCTGGGGGAGAGCAGGATTCAGGGCTCGAGTCAGAAACACGCTCCAGGGAAAGGGACGGGATCCTGGAGGCGGGCAGTCACAGCACCGCTGCAGGACCCCGGCGCGGGCGGAGGCCAAAGCCGCCAGCCCCTCCAGCTCTATGGCCAGACACGCTGCAGAGCAGCCTCCCCGCTGGGAGGGCCTGGCTGTCCGCAAAGCCCAGCTCCTGCAGGGAGGTTTACGGAGCGTGGGGTTCGTGGGGGTGCGGGGGAAGCTAGCAACACTTACAGCTGGCAGTGTGACTGGCCTTGGGGCATTAGAGGGGTGGAGCTGCCACTGGCTACAACCAGCAGGCCCAGCAAAGCCTGAGCCCCCTTCACACGTTCGGGGTCCTTCACGGGGGGCTCTACCCTCAGGTACCCGCTGTGGGTTCAGGAGACCAGTAGGGTTGGCTGGCACCTGAAGAGCGGCCCAGCAGACACATGCCTGCTCCAGAGCTCTCACATTCTCCTTCTGAGGAGCGGCGGCTGGGCAGGTTAGTGAGAACCCACCAGGCCCCAGAGGGGACTGGGGTCCCTGCCCCTCGCTCTGCTGGGGGTGGGGGGAGCACAAGCAGTAACTGGAAAGGCCTTATGGCTCCACTGGCCTTTTGGCAAGTCAAACAAAGCAACAAAGAACCGGCGGATGGGCCCAGTTCTACCCCACAGCCCCTGGGCCACCAGCCCAAGTGGGAACGCCAGCGTGGGGTAGCTCCCCCGGCAACTGACTGACTGCTTCGCAACAGGACAAGCCGAGAGGGGCGCACAGCGGCCCAGCCCCTTACCCTGGGCGTTCACAGTTGCTGTCCAGTTGGAGCTGGAGCCGTGCAGCAAGTCCACCTTGAAGGGGCCGGTGTTCGGGGGAAGGTCCGGGTCCACAATATTTAACAACTGGACCACTGGGTTCTGATTGCAGATGTAAAATTCCCGTGGATCTGGCACTGGCCCGTTGTCATTCACATCCTCGAGGGTCAGCAGCAAGGTCCCCGTGCCCGTGGCCAACGGCTGCCCTAAGGGAGAGCGACACCACGGCTCAGTGCAGGGGACCCCAGAATCCCACACGCGCCTCTGCTGCCGCCCAGCCGCCTCCCACACCTGGGTATGTGCACTGCATGGGCAGCTGGGGGAGAACCTTGTGATCAGATGGGCCGGGGCGGGGGGGAGCTGGGCTGATGGCCTTAAACCAGGGGTGGGCAAACTTTTTGGCCCGAGGGCCACATCTGGGTAGGGAAATTGTATGGCAGGTCATGAATGCTCACAAAATTGGGGGTTGGGGTGTGGGAGGGGGTGAGGGCTCCGACTGGAGGTGTGGGCACTGGGGTGGGGCCAGAAATGAGGAGTTCAGGGTGCGGGAGGGGGCTCTGGGCTGGGGCAAGCAGTTGGGGTGAGGGGGGGTGAGGGCTCCAGCTGGGGGTGTGGGCTCTGGGGTGGGGCTGGGGATGAGGGGTTTGGGGTGTAGGAGGGTGCTCCAGGCTGTGACAGAGGGGTTCAGAGGGCAGGAGGGGGATCAGGGCTGGAGCAGGGGGATGGGGTGCAGGCTCCGGGTGGCGCTTACCTCAAGCAGCTCCCGGAAGCAGCAGCCTGTCCCCCCCTTGGCTGTGGGACCTGCAGAGCCGGCGCTTGGGGCAGGGGCAGCATGCGGAGCCCCCGGCTGCCCCTATGCGTAGGAACCGGAGGGGAGACATGCCGCTGCTTCCGGAAGCCGCAGAACGGGGCAAGCCCCTGACCCCGCTCCCCGGCAGGAGCTCGAGGGCCAGATTGAAAGGTTTGATGGGCTGGATGTGGCCCCCGAGCTGTAGTTTGCCCATCCCTGCCTTAAACGGTGCCATGCTTTCGTGAGCGTTCCCACAGCTCTGATTCAGTCCATCTCTGTCTCTGAGCAGAGTGCAGACCACGTGGGGCCATTCCATTTCCTGTGGCATTAGCCCTGGCGTCCTGGCCAGTTACGTTTTGCCCCAGCAGTGTCCACTGGGCACTATTTTTCCCTTTCCTGT